ACAGACTCGAAAAACCAAAAAAAAAAAATAAATAAAATAAAAAAAATAAAAAAAAACCAAAGGCCCAGTCAGGCAGAGGCCTACTCGGTGCATAACACCCAGCCATGGAAAAGCTGGGTCCCAGCACCTGAGCTGGCCCTCGGCAGCTGTTTCTACCTAAGCTTCCTCTAAGAAAAGCCCTTGGTGACAGCCAGGAGGGAAGGACAGTGAGAAGAGGTACCAGGATCAGGCACTGTGTGTGGTGGCAGGAACTGCTCGGCTCAGTCCTCTTCTTATCTCTTGCTCCGAGGCAAAGGGCACAACAGGACTCAGATCCCAACCTGGGATTCTGTACTAGGTCCCTGGCCCTGAGAATGCTGTGACAGGCCCACTGGGTCCTTTTCCACTGGGAAGGAGGTCTGGGAAGCCTGCCAGCTTCACTGCACAGAACATGCCCCCTGAATCAAAGAAAGCCCAAACGTGCTGGCCAAGAGCCCCAGCCATGTGATACTGAGCTACACGGTGTGTGGACCCCACATAGCTGGCCTGCAGGGTATCGTGGGACCTGGGGCCTGGGACTGAGCCTCTTCCAGAATATTTGTGACTTCTCAGCCATCCAGCTTGGGCCTCAGGAGGGTTCTTGGTGGCTTTCTGGCCTAGAATCCTCTGCAGAGAGGACTGTACTTGACTTACAGACCCAGACCCAGGGAGGAACCAACAGTGGGTGGGTATCTTTCTCTCGCTATGATACAGCATCTTGGCAAACACAAATCAAGGGTTTTGTCCTGGCTCACCGGTGGGGAAGTCTTGGTGGCAGGAGTTTAAAGCAACTGGTCACAACTAAAAACCGAGAGCTGTGAAATGCTGGCTCTCAGCTCAGCTTGGCTAGCTGTCTCCATTCTCTGCAGCCTAGGATCTTCACCCAGAGACCCCCTCTCCAAGGTGGTTCAAGGCTCTGCCCAATTGACAGTTAACATTAACCATCGCGGTGGGAAAGACGTCTTGGACTGAGGATGGCCCTCAAGAGCGGCTGCCAGTCTCCTGTCTGGCTAAGAGCAGGCTGGGTGATGAGAGTCCCAGGGCTCTGCTCCGACCCTATCTGGGCAGATTTAAGGGTGGCTAGAGATGACGGAGAGCATGTCACTGGCCATGAGCTCTGGATGAATGCAGGCAAGCAGATGGAGGGTCAGAGATGCGAGTGCCAAGACCCCTTGACCCTCTGTGCCTGATGTCCCCTGACTGTTGCAGCTGGCTGCAAGGTGGGTCTGTTCACCAACAGCTGAGTTATGGGGTTCTCACTTTGCCCCACCCCCTATGCAAATTACTTGCAGCTGCAAATGGAATATGCCCTCGTCTTGGAGAAGTCAATATGTTCATGTATGCTTTGTCAGGAGGCAGTACACCCTCTGTGCTAGGGTCGTACATACATGAATGCTGGGCGCACATGTATGCATGCTGTCCCAGTCTCTTAGCTCAGAGCCAAGTTCTGTGTCCACAGACAACTTGGATATCTATGCATATCTGCCAATCAATCACTGGCACCCTTCCTGAACAAGTTTAAGTAACATAGGTCTTCTCAGAGAGGGTACAAACGGGCAACTACCTCTGGACCTGTCCCATGCTGGTGGCACCTGGTACTCAGACTGCAAGTCCAGGAGGTGGAGCTGCAGCCGAGGCATCCCTTGTGACTTGTCCCCCGTCAGTTCTGACCTTTGGGACCAGCACAGGGTGGACCAGGCCTGATTCGGCAGAGTAAACTGGAGACCGATGAGTCAGTGGTACAGAGAGAGAGAAGCCTTTTTAGAGGCAAAACATGGCTAATATTCAATGAGCACCTACTGTGTGCCGGATTATCTCACATAATCGTTTACCACTGAGACTCAGAGGAGTCATGAGACTTGCCAAAGGCCACCTGGTCCAGACTGCGTAGAATTCATATGTAAACCCAGTCAGACTCCAGAGCCTGCACTCAGAAAACACCGAGAGGCAACAAGATGACTCAGTGGGTTGAGTCATCAAACCTGATGACATTCTCAAGTTGTCTTCTGACCCCGACTCATGTGTTGTGGTGCAGGCATACCCACCCCCACCAAATAGAAGTAAAAAAAAAAAAAGAAAAAAAGAAACTCACTAAGCGTGGCTGCTTTATGAAGGATCTCACTCCTGGCCACTTGAGAACACATTGCAGTATAATGGGGACTCAGCAGGGGAGGGCAGCTGTCTCTAGTCCCCTGAGACAAGCCAATCAGGACACATTTAAAAAATGGGTGGTGATGTAGCAAAGCAAACTTGGCACAACTGTGGTCTCTTCTGAGGGTTCTTGTTTCACAGATATCTTGTGGACAGCAGTCAATGATGGGTATCATCATGCAGTCCCGGGTGTGGACTCACCGTAGTCTGGAACCTCTCCTCCGGATGTCCCCTGCAACTGTATGTGTGGACACATTTGGAGTCTTAGCAGGAGATCAAAAAACTCACTTTCCACAGCAGTGTCTGTCACCTCCTGTTGGTGGCCATTCTGTATGACTCTTGAGTGTGGCTGAGGACAGTGGGATAGCGATCGAGCCTTAATCAGCCCCACTGTCTCGGTGTTGCCTCCAGTCCACTTGGTGACCCTCTGAGGGGAAGGGAGGCTCTCTCTCTGCCACTCTCTAGAGAGGGTCAGGTTCTCTGCTACCTTCCCAGCTCTGATCCACGGAAGATCACCGTCATTAGCCTCAGCACTTACTTCCGGCTAAGCCCCTTGCCCGTTTCACAAGTACTGTATAATTTAATATAACAAATTATACATTGTCCAAAGGGGAAACTGAGGCTTGGGGCTTCAGATAACTAGACTGAGGTGATTCAGCTTGACAGTCATGAGACATAAAGCACACTTACGCTTAACCCCTTCAATCCTGGGTTCTGACCAAGGGTTGTCGCAGATACCTAGGCCACAGCTCACTGCCTGCTGCAGCCCTGAATGGGCCTGGTGTTTTGTCCATAGCTGATGTTCTGAGACAGAGTTTGGGTTGGCGACAGCTGTCAGAGAGGGCCTGTCTCACTGGGGCAGAAAGAGGAGACCTGGACCTTGTTCCCCAAGCCTGGCACAAACCCAGAGCTGCCAATGGGGCCTCTGGGGCCTCAGTCCTGCTCAGGGACACCCCTTGTCTCCCAGGCTTGTTTCTCTTGAAGTTCCCAGGTCCCCTTCCCAGACTCCTGAACAGGGAGGGTGGGGCCAACCCAACAAGGCCGCTTCCCCCTGCTGCCTGTGTTCCGTCAGCTTCCACGTTGTCTTCTTAGGGTCACTAAAGTCCAAGAGGCCTCCTGGGAAGGTGTGTCACCTTCCAACGTGGAGCCACACACTGGTGAGGAGGCGGGGAGAGAGGGCTGGAGGGGCTTTAAATGCGTGGCTGGCTTTGCCTGCAGTCAGTTCCGCAGCGACACAGGTGAAGTGTTTCTTCTCACTACCGGAAACATCCAGTGTAGCCAAGACTGTTGCAGGCCAGCGAGGAGCCCAGGATGTTCCTGAAGGCTGTGGTGCTAACCCTGGCCCTGGTGGCTATCACGGGTAAGTAGACACAGCTCTCTAGCCGCCGCTGCGTACGAGAGGCAGCGTGGAAAGGCAGCTCTAGAACTAGAGAACAGCTGAGGGTGGCCTTGGGTTTGCTGCTCCTACGAGAACAGACCCTTGTTGGTACCAGGGCTCTCCGGGTTAACCCGGAGATGGAGAAATGGGTTGGGTTACCCCAACTCCAGCACCATCCAGCTCAGAGCTGAGGCAAGGGTCCAGAAGAGGAATGTACACTGTTCATGACTTGTGGCTGCTCTCTTCCCAGGCACCCGGGCTGAGGTCAGTGAGGACCAGGTGGCCACTGTGGTGTGGGACTACTTCATTCAGCTAGGCAACAATGCCAAGGAGGCTATGGAGAAAATCCAGAAGTCAGACATTACCCAACAGCTCAAGTAAGTGGGGTCAGCCTGCAACGCCAGGCTTTCTTGAAGGCCAAAGCTGATGAGAGGTGGGACGCCAACACTTGGGATCCTTCCTTTCTCACTAGGGGACTCTGGCCTCTCTGGACCTAGACTGTCCCTATAAACAGGGAAGTTGGGCCCAGGCATCAATCCCTATAGTATCTTCCTAAGTGTGCTAAGTTTGGTAAATAGCCAAATCCCATTGCAAGCTCGTGGTAGAAGGAGAAAGAAGACATGTCCTGTGAGGTGGGATTTCTAGAAACATGGGTGCCTGCGAAGTCAGGGGAAGAGAGGTTGGAATGTCTGCAGATGCTCTGATCGTGAGCAAGGACTTCAGACCTTGCGCCGCTGGAGGACTGCAAGGTTGCACAATGTGACCCTTGCCTGGGAGGTAGGGGGCAGGAGTTAAAGTCCAGTCCTGTTCTGTTCTTTAATCACAAGGAAAGGAGTCACGTGACAGGTAGATAAGGATGCTGAAGCCGAGCAGAAGTCTTGCAGATAAAAATCCAAAGGAACACTAATCCTAGTAGATTTCCTGAAAGCATGACCTACCCCAGGGAGGGCCACAGGGACAAGATGGAGGTCTTGGTTCCCATGGACACACTCCTGACCTAGACAGGTACATAAAGCAGAGTCTCTACTGCCAAGTGTAACAGGGCTTCTCTCCACCTTTCCCTGAAGCACCCTCTTCCAGGACAAACTTGGGAACGTGAATACATATGCAGATGACCTGCAGAAGAAGCTGGTGCCCTTTGCCGTGGAACTCGGTGAGCGCCTGGCCAAGGATACAGAGAGGGTAAAGGAAGAGATTAAAAAGGAACTGGAGGACCTACGAGCACGCATGATGCCCCACGCCAACACCGTGAGCCAGACATTCGGGGAAAACGTGCAGAAGTTGCAGCAGCAACTGGGTCCCTATGCCGAGGGGCTGAAAACCCAGGTCAACACCCAGGCACAGGAGCTGAAGCGCCAGCTGACCCCCTACATGCAGCGCATGCAGACCACGCTGCAGGAGAATGTGGACAACCTGCAGGCCTCAATGACACCCTTTGCCAATGAGTTCAAGGACAAGTTTAACCAGAACGTGGAAGAGCTCAAGGCGAGCCTGACCCCCCGTGCCAGCGAGCTGAAGGCTACAATCGATCAGAACCTGCAGGAGCTGCACAGCAGCCTGGCCCCCCTCGCCGAGGGCGTGCAGGAGAAACTCAACCACCAGCTCGAGGGCCTGGCCTTCCAGATGAAGAAGAACGCCGAGGAGCTTCAGACCAAGGTCTCCACCAACATCGAGCAGCTGCAGAAGAAACTGGCACCGCTGGTGGAAGACGTGCACAGCAAGCTGAAGGGCAACACCGAGGGCCTGCAGAAGTCTCTGGAAGACCTGAACAGCCAGCTGGACCAGCAGGTGGAGGAGTTCCGGCGCACCGTGGAGCCCCTGGGGGAGATGTTCAACAAGGCCCTGGTGCAGCAGATGGAGCAGTTCAGGCAGCAGCTGGGCTCCAATTCGGGGGACGTGCAAAGCCACTTGAGCTTCCTGGAGAAGAACCTGAGGGAAAAGGTCAGCTTCTTTATGGGAAGCCTGGAGAAAAAGGAGAGCCCAGACCAGACCCTGGCCCTCCCCGTCGCCGAGCAGGTCCAGGAGCCCAACCCCAAACCCAGCCCCGTGGAGAGCTGACCTGTCCCTGGTGCCCGAAACCCATCCCAGCAGCAGACACCTGCCCTGCCCCACCCCCTGTCTGCCCTGCCCCACCCCTTGTCTGCCCCGCCCCACCCCCTGTCTGCCAGTCTGCCCCTAAACACTCCTTGTACCTGCTTGAGGACACTTGTCCTGCAGGAGGTGATGTCTCATCTAACTACTCAATAAAGCAACTGAGAAATTAGCCCCCGTTGGTTGCCATGTGATTCCTTGGGGGCTGGCCTGAGGTGGGGATGAGGACAATGCTGGTCCAAGCTGAGCAGCATCTGGCAGGGACAGGGTGGCACTGTGGGGGAGCCTATCTGAGGCTCGGGGGTTGGTGTGACAGAGAGGACAGAGAGGAGAAGGCAGAAAAGATGTCAGTCTATCAGGAAACACACACCCCATTTACAGTCTTTTAGCCACTGCCAGTTAACAAAGGCCCTGGAGGTTCTAATCAAACTTCCAAGCACCAGACAAGCCAAAAACGGCTTTGGTGGCATTGTGTGCCTGGAGACCGGGTTTCATGTTGACAGGGGCCCCAGGAGGGCAGCAAGACAGTTCGTCACACAGCAAGTGCCTTCTTGCAGGGCCTGTGTCCTTGAATTTATTTATGTAAAAGTAAACCATCCTCCTCTATCCTACGGCAAAGTGTAAATTTCTCCACCTGTTGGCTAAACCTGTTGACTGCAGAGCGGTGTGACAGAAACCACAGGATGTGAAGGAGTCAGGGTGGAGCAGGCGCTGGAGCTTGCAGAGAGCCCTGACACGCTCTGCTCAGCAGCCTCTTGAGGGATGGCCTGCCTGTCTGTCACAATGCTTAAAGCATTGTGTCTCTTAGGCGCTGGCCTAAGAGATGGACCCGAGCAGTGGGCACAACCAGCCATGGCAGTTGCGGTCTCTGAAATGAACAATTCCTCTCTGCCCTTGGAGACCCAAGGAGGGAGTCTCAGAGTAGAGTCAGTCCAGGGCTTCCTCCCATAGTATGGCACAAACTGGCCGCTGCCTCCGACTCAGGTCTTTAAGTCACACCCCTGCTCCTCAGAATGGGGAAAGTCACCCTGCAAAGTTCTGGAATGGACTGAAATATGCTGGGGGTAGCCCCAGCTGCCCTGGCCTCCTCCTCTGCTCCCAAAGCTTCTTCAGTGTGTCATAAGTTCAGGCCTGGGTTTGAATCCTGGCTTCCCAGGTGCCTGCTGGGTGATTTGGGGGCAGGTAACATTTTTTTTTTTTTGAAAAGAAAAATGAGGAGGCTTGGGCCCGAGTTGTTCAGAAAGTCTGATGGTACACGGAGCCAGGCACTTACTCCTACCTCAAGTGCAGTGTAAACACTCAATGAGCAGAGTGTGCTGAGGACACCCCGGAAATGTCCTCTTCTGCTCAGCTCCCTAGCCTCCAGGTCCAGGCCACCAAACCTTCAAATCTCCCCGGCCCCTTGTAACCGGATGCTCAGGTCAAACCGTCACAGTTACTCCCACCCATGACCACTAGCCGGGACGACACAGGTGAGTACATTTTGCTAAGAGAACTGGCTCCAGGAGGCTTGCTGACCAGCTAGGAGAGGCTTTCTCAGAGCGCCAACGCACAGAACAAAGGCTAAGTTGGTTTTCTGGGCTGGTTTGGAAACTTTTGCTCTCCCCTGTAGGTCTTCTAGATGAGTTCTGCCTCTCAAAGCCCCTGAGTCTCCCAGACCCTTGTTCATACTACAAATCTTGAGTGGGACCCCTAAGGTTTTTTCCTGCTGTCTCCAGGACTGCCCCACCCACTCCCAGGGTCCTACTACAGTCCTAGTTTCCCTGAATGAGATACACTCGCTTGCTTTCTCCTGAGCCAGGATGTCACTCCTGGTCTTCAGTCTCTCAGGTCTCTGACCTGGCATACACTTCCCGGTCACAGCATTGCTTTTGGCTGCCTTAATACGCTGGATATTCCTGTCCCCTCAAACTCATGTGTTGAAATGAACTCACCGTGGTGAGTGTGTGTGTGTGTGTGTGTGTGTTTGCGTGCGCATGTGTGTGTGTGCGTGTGTGTGTGTTTGGGTTGGGTGGGTGGGTGTAAAGGTCAAAGGATAACCTCTGCTGTCATTCTCAAGAGTATCGTTTGCTTCCTTTGAGACAGGGTCTCTCGTTAGCCTGGAGCTCACCAATTAGGGCAGGAAGGCTGGACAGTGATCCCCAAGGACCCGCTTGTCTAGGCCTTCCTGAAGTGAATGTGTTTCAACCATCAATATAATGATTTTGGGCTCACACTTTTAATTTCAGCACCCAGAAGACAGAAGCAGGTGGATCTCTATGTGTTCCAGGCCAGCCTGGTTTACATCGTGAATTCCAGGTCAGCCAGGGCTACACAGTGAGGCCTGTCTCAAACAGAAACAATTAAACCAAAAGACGATGACGATATTAGGTTGGTCTATTTTTGCCTCCTATCATTCAGTTTGGGGCTGGGTCTCTCCAGAATTAAACAGTTATATTCGGAGTTAGCTTTTGAGTTTTCTGCCCATTGCCATGAAACCATCACAAATGTTTTAAATTTACTGTGACCCCTGTGTCCTATGAAGAAAACACCCACAAAGATTCAGCTGGCTCACAGTGAGAAATGACAATCAAGGATTTGTG